GAACCTCGGAGGATGGGAGGGGAAGCGTCGAGACGGGGGAGACGCAGACGGCCGGGGCGGGGCCGTGGGTACAGGGGGGGCGGGGAGGGGAAGGGGGGGGGGGGGGGGGTGTAGGTGGGGGGGGGGAGGGGGGGGGGGGGGGTGTGGGGGGAGCGCGGTACGGGGAATCCAAGATTGCAGCTTGCGTTTGTCTTGGTGAAACGTTCACCAGTTCACTTAGAGGTAGCAGGTGGTGTTTTTCCAGTAAAGATATTAATTTTTTTAGCTTGGTCACACTTATAAAATATCTTCACACAACTGTCCATTCTAGACCCGATAGAAAGAAAACATAATAAGCTTATGACGAACACAAAATTCTGCCCGATTTTTCTTCTAAGTCTTTTTTATTTATTAGCTGAGCTTTAGCCTCCACGGTGGCGACGGCAAAGAGATCGTCAAAAAATAAACAATAGGTTTATTACAAAAAATAACAACTTTGTACATGCATCACTCTTTTTTTGTACATTTCTTTGTCGTCACTGTACGACTACGACGTGAAAAACTGTGTGAAAATGCCTAATTGTGCGTTTCACGGAGGGTGTTAACAAGCAGCGACGAATTCTTCTTTCTTTTTCTAAACTTGAGTGCGTTCCCAAAGAAAACAACTCCTGGATAATTCGCCAACATTTGCCATTTTCAGCTAATTGGAATAAACGCGACAGAGTTTGACATTTTTTGCTGACGTCGCCTTTGTCGCTGCTAAAACTCCAAATTGACTCCAGAACTCGGAACCTGTAAATTGGCTGCTATCAAAGAGTATCGCGCATTAAAATGTTTTCTTTTTTTGCTGTAAACTTGAGTTTTATCTTGATGGGAAAATTTTCATTTTAGCTGTGTCTGCGGGATATTTGTTATTTATCAACCAGTCCCAACCTGAAAAGGAGGATTCGTTTTAGTGGCTTACAAATTGTTTTTGTTATAAGTATATATATAAACGGAGGCTTTGCTTTGAGCAAAAACGTCTTATTGCTGATCTTTAACCAAGAATTTCAGGTGGTATACACTATCCTACTAAATGCGTAAGAAAGTCAATTATTTCTCAATATTATAGTGTATCGAAAGGGAAGGTTATGTTTAGGAAATTTAGAAAAAAATAACCGATA